TCTGTCGTTGCCCGACAGCTAGGGAAAGGAGTTCTTCAGGGTGATGTCCTGTCCCTTCGGCCACAGTAGTCGGCTGCAGATCTCCCTGACTGTCTCGGTGCCCGCAAGTCCTTTTGCCGTTCCAGGGTCCACGATCAAACAAAGACGAAGGACATCTTGAACGCTGGTCATAAGAGCTTGACTTTCATCTTGAGGTTGAGTGCGAAGATTGATCGCAAACAGATTCGCACGTGGCTGCCACAGCTCCGATAGAGGTCCTTTGCCTGTGGCTGCTGGTGCTTCTATACTCGTGCCGTCATTGACCTCTGAGGTACTTGCCGGCAGACGTGCTGGTCGCTCGGGGAGTTGATACGAAGTTTTGAGTCCCGTAGTTGGCGACCCGATCATGCGGACGTTCGTGGTGGCAATGTCGTTCGCCCTCTTGGCCAAGTCCGAGAAACTCACCTTTTTTCCAGCCGGTCGTTCTTCATGATGCTGTTCTCGTCTTGCAGCTTCTTCTCGATCTGATGCCAAGCTCCACGAACCTGTAGAAGGGCTGTCCTCCGAGGTGCTGTTCTGCTTGTCCGCGTACCACGGAGGAAGGCGTCCAGGGCTATCTCGCTGTCGTTGCCATCGAGGTGCTCCCGTGAGAGGTCTGACCCTCTTGCCTTCTCCGCTGCATTTGGCCTGTCGACGCTCTTATTATTTGATCTCTTGATGTTGTCGTTCGAAGTCCTCAGATGTCAAAGATCCGTAGTCCCAAGGGTACTTACCTGATTATGACGTAGAACCAGAACCAGCAACGTATGCTTGAGAATCCCCACCGTCGTCAGGATGACTGAATCCCGTACCATCAGTCTTGCCATCTCCAGTTCCATGACCTCCTTTAGGCTTCGCGGGGCGGTCCGCGTCCTTGTGCCACTTAGATCCGCAGATACTGCAACCCGTACCTGATGATGATGACTTGTCCTTGCTCCACTTGTTCTTGCCGCCGTAGTGCGCCTCAGTGCCGAAGGACTGTTTTCCTTTTCCTTTTCCGGTACTTCTCTTGCCGTTCTTGCTGAAGCTACGACCTCGTCCTTTGCCTTTCTTTCCTTTTTCTCTGCCTTTACATCGTCCTCGAAATCGCCATTTGGGTATGACTCAGTTCATCTGGTATGCTTCAGCAAGATCACAGATCTAGATCTGCCTCGACCTCGTCCTGTTCGTACCACGTCCAGTAGCTGTCGTATGCTCCGTATGCGCAGTCGCCTGTCTCCGTGTAGAACTCTCTGTAGTGCAACTCCGTCTCCTCATCCAACCCAAAGTCGACTTCTGCGTCCTCGCTGCCATCATCCATGCAGTAGGTCAATTGGTACTGTGAGTCGTCCAGCTCCTCGTCCTGATATTCCGTGTAGTGTGTATCTTGATGATGTTCATGTTTTGTTGTCAGTTTTTGCTTCGCGATGCGACTCAGCATGCTGTAGATCTCGTTGAAATTGTCCCAGTCGCTGTCGAAATGCAGTTTAATATTTGCAACCCTGCAAGCCAGAAGCCCGCTCCACTTGAAGAGGAGATGAGTCAAGCTTGTCATACTGATGCTCAGTCCAGCTCGAGACTCCACCTCCTGGTATCGCTGCTTGAAGCTCATCAGGTAGTCCTGGAGTGGCGCCGAACCTCGGCGAGTATCCCAACACTTGCCGAGAAGCTCGCCCTGTCGATCCTGATCGTGAATCTCGAAGCACTCTGTCAATTCTTGATGAGATGTCCGATGCCAGAGAGGTCCGCCTCCTGGACGACGTTGCCGTCCTCGTCCGCTTGCTGCTCCTGCTTGCTGAGAGCCAGTGCGCCGTCTCCAGCATAGACCACCCCACTCCGAGCAACCCGAAATTCCATGGCAACCTCGCACGCCTTGTCGAATAGTCTGCTGGCCACCAGCGGGTCTGCTTCTTCCTCCACGAGTGGCGTGATCCGCCACCAGAGTTGGAGTCGCTCGAGAAACTCTTCGAAGGTGTAATCTGGAAGGCCCGGCCTCCAGCCGGGAGGTACATACCTGGTGAACTACTCGGGAAGCGTGCTCGGCAGCTTCCAGTCTTGGCCACCAGCCGCCATGATGCCGTCGCAAGGAGAGAGGAGGTTGCTGTGATCCACAGTGGCCCCGCTGATCACGAAGAGAAAGAGTAAAACACAACTGATGATACGTCGCCGGAAAAAAAAACTTGATTATCGGCAGCACGAAGAAAGGGTCCGTGCGATGTCGGCAATCCGCCGGGATGATAAAGCGCGCGTGGCAGCGCGGCGCGGCAGCTGCTATGGCGGCCGCGGATGCCCGACATAAGGAGGGCACGACGGAAGCTTGGAGCTGGACTCCAGGCTCTGCTACCAAACTGGAATGTTCAGTTCGATGAACGCGCGAAGCCCGCTCCTGAAAGCAAGTGCAGTACAGACGTCCTTGCTTGCTGTCTGACTCCGATCTGCTGCGAGCGGCCTCCAAACGTACTGGGGTTTCGCCCGGTACCGAAGTTCTGTGAAGTCCAACTATAACCCAGGGCTGGACCTAATCAGTGTTTTGGCGATTTCGTGGGCCGTTGTCGTTTCGATGTCGTCTTGCAGCGAAGGCGAGCTCAAGACAGAACGAGGGAAAACGAAACCAAAACGAAAACGGAAAACACTGTTGAGGTCCAGTCCTGCCACAGCCTTATGGGATTCGATTAATGGAGAGGAAGCATACTGCCAAATAATTTCCAGATGTCTAAAAGATGTTTCAAACATGTTTCGTGGGCCGTTGTCGTTTCGATGTCGTCTTGCAGCGAAGGCGAGCTCAAGACAGAACGAGGGAAAACGAAACCAAAACGAAAACGGAAAACACTGTTGAGGTCCAGTCCTGCCACAGCCTTATGGGATTCGATTAATGGAGAGGAAGCATACTGCCAAATAATTTCCAGATGTCTAAAAGATGTTTCAAACATGTTTCGTGGGCCGTTGTCGTTTCGATGTCGTCTTGCAGCGAAGGCGAGCTCAAGACAGAACGAGGGAAAACGAAACCAAAACGAAAACGGAAAACACTGTTGAGGTCCAGTCCTGCCACAGCCTTATGGGATTCGATTAATGGAGAGGAAGCATGCTGCCAAATAATTTCCAGATGTCTAAAAGATGTTTCAAACATGTTTCGTGGGCCGTTGTCGTTTCGATGTCGTATTGCAGCGAAGGCAAATTCAAGACGCAACGAGGGAAAACGAAAACATCACGAAAACGGAAAACACTGTTGAGGTCCAGCCCTGCCGTAGCCTACAGTCTCAGTCCCGCCACCCTCTCGCCCTCCCTCCCCCGCTCCGCTCCTCCCCCTTTCGGTTCCGCCGCCGCCACCCTCCCAATCTCAGGAGGGAAAAAACACACAGACACAATGAATCGTCGATCCCCCAGGAAATATTGGAAAATATGGGAAGTGGGGGGGAGGACAAAACCCCAGAAAATATGGGAACATACGGGGAACCCTGTTATTTGTTTCTATTTATTTGTGTGTCCCAGGGCCCCTTCACAGTCTCCATTCACAAGTTTCCTCCCTCATCGCCCTCCCCCCCGAGGAGAAAAGAGAAGGAGCCGGAGGGGAAACGGAGGCTGATGAGGCAGAGGGAGAAGGGACGCGGACGCTTCAAGCCGCGTCTTCAGGGCCTGTCTTTCAAGGAGGTGCAGTGAGTCGAGTGAAGACGACGACGACGATGGTGACGGCGACGGCGACGGCGACGAAGACGACGACGACGACGACGACGACGACGACGACGACGACGACGACGACGGCGTCGGCGATGCGACGGTGACGGCGACGGCGAAGGACACGGCGACGAGCAGGACGAGGAGGAGGAGGAGGAGGATCAGGAGGATTAGGAGGTGGAGGTGGTGGAGGAGGAGGAGGAGGAGGATAGGGCGCGGACAAAGGGGACGACGAGGAGGAGGAATGCCTCCTCCCGCTTTGGGGGGCCACCGTTGCCCTCGTCGACGCCGCCGCAGCCGCCGCCGCTGTCGTGGTCCGCATCGTCACGGCCGTCGATCCGCCGCACGCCTTGGACAGCTCGAGCAGAGGGCGTGGCCGCTGAGTCCGCCCTCGCCCGGGGCCTCTGGGAGACCCCCCCGCGGAGGCCCGAGAGGGGCTAGGGAGCGCTCAGGACCCTCTGAGGCAAGAGCCTCCAGACCCAGACATGCACCTCCAGGCTCTCAGACGAAGGTTTTCCTCGTTTTCGGCCTCTGGGGACCCTTAGAGGGCCCCTGGGCCGTCAAACAACGACTTGGGATGTGAAAAGCCGGTTCCGAGGAAAGGGTCGGGACTTCTGGGGACCGTGCATGGAGTAAATCAAGACGTCGCATATCTGGGGAGACCTCCCCTCTCGTCTCCCTGGCCCACCGCAAGGGCCAGGGGGCTGAAAGCTCGGTGGGGGCGTGCTCTGGGGGGCTGCCTTAGGAAGCCGCCTCGGCTGCACATATGAGGAGCGACACTTCGCCAGGATGACCATTGGTGCGCGGAGAGGGGAGGGCATTGTTTTTGTTCTCCCCTGGCGCGTCACGGCCGCTACCTGGGCTAAGCCCCTTCCCTCCCCCAGGGTAACGGTAACGATCGCACGACGGGGCGGGGCTTGGACCCCCTCATCCGCCAACATGCTAGTGCTCACTATGGCGATAGCGGCGCACCCCCGTCCCGACGTGCCCCACCTCGCCCAAGCTGTACCGTTGCCCGGCCCCCCACCGGGTAACGACCGTTAATGGAGATCATATCGAAAAACACTCGAAGGAGGGGCAGCCCCGAGCGCGCAAGCCGCTGCCTTCACATCGTGTGCAACGACCAGGGTGCCGCGCACCAGGGATCAATCCTTGCCCAGGGCCGCTTTTATTTCGGAGACGACGGTCAGGGGCATAGCACGTATCCCTCCAGGAGCCTCGCCGAAGACATTGACCATCGGCGCACCTGGGCCGTTCGCCCCCATCGTCGCCTCCGAATATTGCGTGCAGCCGAGAGGCCCCCCTCCCCACACCCCCACGGCCGGGCCGAGGCGGGGCCGCGCGGGGGAAGGCGCTCGTGCGCCCGCTGGCGGGCGGCCGCGTGCGGCGCGTCTCGGCGACGGTCGGCGGCCCGGCAAGAATCATCAAGGGTCGGCTCCGCGTAAGACTTTTCGCCAGAGTGACCTTTGGTGAGGGCCCACAGAGTTCTCCCCATCTCACTGGCCTGCGCGATAGGATTTGGCCTTCCCGCGGTCCCCAAAACCAAAAGCGGCGCACCGAAGATCACTCCTGCTCATGGTCATTCTTACGTGTGGCCGAAGGGGAAGGGGGGGTCCTCTTTGATGATCGGGGCGATATTCTATCCATACGGTCGGGATCTGCTGGTTCGCGTGTCGCGGCGTCTGTTCTGGCCTAACTCGCTTCGGCGCGACACGCCATCCTCATCCTGGTCCCTAGATGTCCCGGGTTTTTCCCATCCCCCGCCCCGCGGAGCGGAGCGACACGCTCTCCGCTTGCAGGGCGTAGCGTGTCTGTGGGCCCGCAGCCGCGACTCGCTATGCAACATTTTCCGACCAAACATGTCCCCGCGCTGTTGATTCTGACGCGTGGCCTTGCGTTTTTGAGAGGGTGCCGCAGCCACCAGGGCAAACACCGCCTCGGGCGAATTGGGCTCGCCGTGGGATTTGCCGCGTGGCGGCCTCGTCTACTCGGGGCTCGGGGCGCAAGGTTTCCTGTGGGTTTGCCATGGTGTCGTTGTCGTCGTCGTCCACGTGGGCGCGGCGATATATACAGTCACACTTCGTTGTAGCTATAGGTGTGTTGATGTGCATACATACAGATACATATGTTCACATACACATACATATACATATACATTTACATATACGTACCAGATGCATATACCTATACGCATGTGTGCACATACACATGGTTGACATAGCCAGCTACATGTCATATACATACAATCCGAAATCTCAGTGTACACATACATAGACCAGTGCATACACATACGTATACATATGCACATGTGCACAAACATATGTACATCGATGCACACAGATCTGTATATCTATATTTATACACATACACATATGTGATGTGTGTGTGTGTTGCGTTCCTGGCCTCGCTCTCGAGGGGTCGAGGTTGGCGTCTGTTCCTCGGCGGAGCGCCAGCGGAAGGCCAGGTGAAGTAGCAGGAATGGCCGGCGGCACGCAGAAGGGGACAGGGGGGCCTCGGGGACGCCAATATTGTACAACTCACGAGGGTGTGTGGCCTCGGGCACGCGAACATGGTGTAATTATTTGGTTGATTGCTTCTGGAGCGCGAATCTCATGTTTTACGTGTCCCACGACCCTCCCAGAAATTCTGAGATCCCGGGATGGCGTGGTGTAAGCCCGTTTGGGGCTCCACCCCCTCGCGCGGACTTCGACAGTTTGCAGTAGGAAGCAGAACGTAGGACTATAGCATTTGAAACTGGCAACTGGAATTGGCGCATGGAGCTGCAAACTTAAGCCCCGCAGCCTGATGGCCCCACAAGGGGGCTGGCGGATAGCCAGATTGGTGTCCCGTGGTTGTCCCGTTGTTTGTCCAGTGGTTGTCTCGCGGTTGTCCCGTGGTTGACCCGTTGTTGTCTCGCCGTGGTCCTGGAGGTTGTCCTGTGGTTGTCTCGTGGCCGTCTTTGGTTGTCCCGTGCTTGTCGTCGCCCGTGGTTGTTTCCTGGCTGTCCCGTGGCGCACAACGAGCATGACATGATTGAGGGGAGCAGGAAGAGGGAGAAGGGAGAGGAGGAGGATTAGACGAAGGAGGAGGAGGAGGAGGAGGAGGAGATGTCAGGGTACAGGGGGCGCAGGGGTGAGGGAACATATGAATGCATAAGAGGGATGAGGGGGACCAGGAGGAGAAGGATGAGGACGAGGGAAGGAGGGAGAGGATGAAGTGGAGGAAACGATGGGACAACAGAAGGAGAGTCAGAAGGATGAGGAGGAGGAGGAGCAGGCCAAGGAGGGTTCAGGAGTACCCCTGCTTATTAAAAGGCGCGGGCCTTGTCTATAGATGTAGGTAGGCCAGCGCCTTCTACAGCATCCTTCCAAGAAGCGTTTCCCCCTCCTGTTACCCCCTTGCGCGCTCCGCCAAACTGGGAGCATGGGGGCGGCTCTGCTGGCGGAAGTGGGCAGAACCAACAACGCTCCCTAAAAGATGTGTTCTACCGGGTTTAGGGGCTCCAGAGTGGGCCAGGAGATATCCACCTCTGAGAACTAGTTGTTGGCAAGTCACGGTTGCCAAGTGGCTTGAGCTCCCAATGATTGTGCGATGCTGCGGATTTCCACAACGCACTGGTGAGAGCTAACTAAGCTGCTCATTTGCTGAAGCCTATGCCTCGCAGCGTGATGGCCCCTCCAGAAGGGGGGGGCTGGAGGATTAATGGGGGCGCGCTTCCGTCGTTTGCGTCCCCCTGGCCCCCCCAGGAGACCCTCGTCGCCACGGTTGGCTTCGCTTCAGGGCCCTGGCCAGGACGCACCCCAGGAGGGATAGGGGAAGTTCAGATCTCGGTATCGCGTTGCTCCCCCAGGTGTGCTCCTCGAAGATCCAGGACATTCTGCGTGGAATCTCTGTGTGTGTGGCATCCCGTGTCCTGGCGAGCTGCCTTCTTCGGCGTCCAGGTGGCCTCGGAATGGCTTCGGGTAGCCTCGAATCGCCTCAGATGGCAATGCGGTTACCTTGGATCGGCTCGGATGGCCTCGGATATGGCGCGGCTGGCCAGGCCTAACCTTAGGGGGGCAGAGACGGCCATCCCCAGATTTAACATGATTAGGATATTGGGTGCGCGCTTCTTTCTCCCCCACCCCTCCTCCTCCTGTATCACAGTTGCGGCGATCGTTGAGGAGCACCTTCGCTTCTCATTGGCCCAGCGTTTCGTCGGCAGTTCCCAGTAAGCTGGCTCAGTTCCTCTGACACCTGCTCACGCTCGGGGCTGAATGACCAGGCTGACCCAGCGTTTGCGCGAGATTCCGCCTTCAAGCTGGCCCATGTTTATTAAGTTATGCTTCTCTTAGTCGTAGTCGTGCCTGCACGGGGACGGCGGCTGCTAGCAGTACACTGCTTGAGGTCCACGATTGCGAATTGTTTCGTTCGTTGCAGCGAGACTTGCAGGATGATGATAAGTCGCTCCAAAAGCGTTTCGGAACCAGCTCAGCGTTTTCTGAAGAGCCGAGGCACGGCCGCGGCACCCGACACATCCTCCAGACCCGCCGGCACTCAGAAATTCTCGACTTGACTTCGGCCGAATATCATCTTCATCTTGGTTTCGTCCTACGACGTGCCCAGGCCTCTCCCCATTTCCCCTCTTCCCTCCTCCTCCCGCCCTCCTACCGCGTGCTTGCTGCGGACCCAGGCTGGTGGAGGCTGGGGCGACGCGCCGGCGCAGTTCGGCCCTCCATGCGGCGCTGCTGCCGCTCCCACGCGGTCGATGCGTCGGGGGCCCGCCGGGGAGGTCCGAAGTCCGCGCGAGTGCCCTCGGGCAGCTCGAGAGCGTTCGCGCCGGGGAGAAGGGGGAGGAGGAGGAGGAGGAGGAGGAGGAGGAGGAGGAGGAGGAGGAGGAGGAGGAGATGATGATGATGATGATGATGATGATGATGATGATGATGATGATGATGATGATGATGATGATGATGATGATTGATGATGATGATGATGACGATGACGATGATGATGCTGATGATGCTGATGATGCTGATGATGATTATGATGATGATGATGATGATGATGATGATGATGGTGGTGGTGGTGGTGGTGGTGATGATGAGGATGGTGATGGTGATGATGGTGATGATGGTGATGATGGTGATGATGGTGATGATGGTGGTGATGCTGATGCTGATGCTGATGCTGATGCTGATGCTGATGATGATGATGATGAGGAGGAGGAGGAGGAGGAGGAGGAGGAGGAGGAAGAGGGAGGCGTCTTGGAAGGATTGCTGGGGTCACCCTGTGCCTCACCTTGAAGCCTGTCATCGCGGCACTAGGGGGCACAGTAGCTCGAGGGTACGTGCCACTTTGCCACGAGCGATGCGGCCTGGGACAGGACATCCAAGATCGTTTGGACGACCTCGGTTTACCTCGAAGCTTAAACCTCGGACGACCTCGAGATATTCCGCCTAACGACCACGAGGCCCGAACCTCCAAACATCTCACGCTTACGTTCACGAGCATGTTCGAGCGGCCTGTTCCGCAAGCGCCCTCGGGCGACCCAGAAATCGAGCAGCACCTTCTGGATCCAGGGCGTCCGCTGGTCGTCCTGGGGACCAGGGAGCATCACGCCCAGCATCGCGCCATCATCGCGGCCAGATTCTGCCCCGAGGGTGGGCGCAAGCATCAAGTCAGGAACAACGTCAGACACCACCTACCAACACACCCCAACCCAACCCGTAGGCTCCAACTTGCCCTCTATTCCCAGTGGGGGGGGCGTCGGCGAACGTTGAAAAACACGCATAGAACCCGCATCCCCCCCAACCCCGAAATGTGGATCTTCGGGTTGGGTTGGGGTGGCTTGGTAGGTAGTCAGTTAGAGGCCGATTCCAGCTCGATTCTTCCGTCCCAGAGCCGAACTCCCCACACCGTTTCCCCTCAGAAGAGGGGCATCCAAAGTTCCCTGCGGCCGAGGGCCTCCCTGGTACCTCTAGCGCCCCCGTCCGTGGCATCCGCTGGCGCTCCCCAGGTGCCCCGCACCCCATCGTACCCCTCGCCGTCTGCTACTCTCCAGCCCTCCCGAATGGCTGTCGTGGGGCGACCTGAAACCAGGAAAAACAACTGAAACCTCCTGCCGTCGGAATCGGAGGACCCCTCATCTTCCAACTCCTGGGGCAGTTCCTTCGCAACCTGGCCCGGCGAGCTGACCGCGTCGAGGGCGGACCGCCCAGGAAGCCGGATGCCTTCAGGACTGCCTCGGGGGGGGCGTAGCCGAGACTGGCCTCCTGAATGGGATCTGGGTAGATGGGGTCGGAGGATCGCGCCACATCGCCGACGCATCGCCCATGCGCCGCCAATCGGGGCCCGGGTGCCCCAGTCTGCACAGGAGCGCGCGGCTTCGCTACCGAGAGAATATTAGCAATACATCGCCGATTCCAAGGCAATGTCCCCCCTCATGAGCCAGCCCCCCCTATCGTTCAATTTCACATGTGTGGCATGAAGGAACAGAGTCCTGATGGAAACGGGCGCTGGATCTCTGAGCTCTCACCAAGGCCAGATTTCCATCCCGAGTCGTTTGTCGTTACGGCCCCGGGGCCCCTGGAGGGCCTCAGGATGCCCAAAGCGGCAAAACGACTAAGGATCGCAGGCATAGAGGTTGACACCAACACCAATATCAGCGGTGTGCTCCCACCGAAAGAAGAAGATCCCGATCTCGGTGATGGTGGTCATATTCTGGCTTCCAGGGTGACCGAAATATTACTACCAACAACGAAATCTACAATCATCTCCCCCCTGTGGAGGCAGCCCCCTGTGTTGGTGTTGGTGCCCATTTCCAGGCCTCCAACAAGGACCCGTTTCCCTCAGGACCTCAGCTGCTCTGATACGCACGTTTTGAAACGTAACACGTGCCGTGCTCAAAACGTCCGTGTTCATAACACAAGTGTTCAGTCTACGTGTTGAGCTCCGTATCAATACGCTGCGTGTTGCGTGTTGCGTATCGGGGCAGCTAAGCTCAGGACCCACGCCTGCCGTGGCGAATCTCTGCTCCAGGCTGCGGCGCGCCACCCGCGCCCTCGCCGCGGCCCTGGAGCTCCGCGGCTCCTCCGCGGGGCCGGCGGCGGCGGACGACGGCGTGCAAGAAGGACGGGGGGAGAGGGGGACAGGAGGAGGAGGAGGAGGAGGAGGAGGAGGAGGAGGAGGAGGGAGCACGAGGGAGGAGAAGGACGAAGAGGCTGAAGCAGACGCAGGAGGAGAGTGGAGGACGGCGACCTGAGGAAGGAGGAGGAGGAGGAGGAGGAGGAGGAGGAGGAGGAGGAGGAGGAGGAGGAGGAGGAGGAGGAGGAGGAGGAGGAGGGGGGGGGGGGGGGGCGGCCGCCGGGCGGAGGGACCGCCGCCGGCCTGGCGCTGAGCCGGGCGGTGGAGCGGGGCTCGCACCTGGAGCATTTGCACCTGTACGAGGAGGCCCGCCCTGCAACGATGCAGTCATACACCCGGGGGTGCGTAGGACACTGAATTCCCGTGCAGGTGGGCACTTCAAATGCGTCCTCGTTTGAGGCCAGATGGAAGCTCCACGTGAGCAGACTTCAAGCACTGATTGGGCGGAGGCAAGGAAGGAGGAGGGGGAGGGGATGGAGGAAACAAAGGAAGGAGGGGGGGACCTGAGTAGCTCCTCCCTGTCGCACCCCCAGGCGCGCGGGTAGGGCGGGCCAGGCGTTCCACCAGAGACTTCCTCACCACTTCTGAACCTGAAGCTTGAGCTTGAAACTGTTCTGCATCCCCTGGCGCTGGAAGGTCGTTATCCAGGCCTCCCTCCTCCCCCGGGTAATGGTAACGATCGTACGTTTTTACCCCAACCCTCCCGAGTGTTGGGTACTCGTTTTGAATAGAGCGATGTGGTCTCCATCCTCCCCCCTCCTCCCTTTCCTCATCCTCCTCCTCCTCCTCCTCCTCCTCCTCCTCTCTCCTCCTCCTCCTCCTCCTCCTCCTCCTCCTCCTCCTCCTCCTCCTCCTCCTCCATTCCTTTCCCTTATAACTAGTTTCTCCCTGTCGCACCCCGAAGCCAGTTTTCAGGGCGGGCCGGGCGTTTCGCCTGAGGATTCTTCACCACTTATAACTCTGAAGCTTGAAACATTACAACAGCGTCACAGATGGAGGACGGGTCGTTTTCAAAATGTGGCTCTCGACTTAGCGCCGCGCACATGCGGTTTTCCTTAACAAGGAAAACATTGCAAGAGCTTCACGGACTGAGGGCGGTTCTTTTTGAACATGTGGTTCTCGCTTTAACGCCGCACACATTCGTTTGACACATCTGCAAGAGTTTCACGGATAGAGGACGGGTGGTAATCAACATGTGGCTCTCGCCTTAGCGCCGCGCACATTCGTTTTAAACATGTGCAAGAGCTTCACGGATTGAGGGCGGTTTAATTTCAACAGGTGGTTCTCGCTTTATCGCCACGCACATTCGCTTAACAAAATTGCAAGAGCTTCGCGAATTGAGGGCGGTTCTTTTTCAAAATGTGGTTTTCGCTCTAGCGCCGCGCACATTCGTTATCAGCATGTGCAAGATATGCACGGATCGAGGGCGGCTCTTTTTCAAAATGTGGTTCTCGCCTTAGCTCCGCGCACCTTCGTTTTAAACATTTGCAAGAGGCTACGGGCTCCCATGGTCAACGGACCAGAAATGGTGATGTGGAAGGATTCAGGATTATACGGGTGCTACAGTGTTGTTGGTTCGCGGTGTTGAAGTCCCAGAATTGGTGTTCTGGCACGATTCCAGATCGTCAGGACGCACCGATCAGGTTGATCCGTGGTGTGGAAACCCCGAGAACAATGTTTCGGCATGCGTCGAGGTCTTCAAACGGTTGTCCTCCAACGAAGCAGTTCCTTCAATGGAAATGAACCGTTGTAGTGGCCTACGAGGAGGGCGCTTGGAGGGAGGGTTACTTCCAACATCGTTGATGATTCTTGGGTTTACACTGGTTCTCCTCCTCCTCCTCCTCCTCCTCCTCCTCCTCCTCCTCCTCCTCCTCCTCCCCTGAAGCCTGCCTTTGGCGCCAGGGCGGGCAAGGAGCGCGGCGTGCCTCTCCCTTCATAGGAAAGCGGCTCGGTCTCGTTCCCCTGTGGTACGGCCCCGGCGATTGCGGCGGGCGTCGAGGCGATACACCTACGGTCGAACGGCAGCGCGGGGCTGGTCATGGCGATGAACGTCCAGGGCTTTGCTCAGGGCGCAGCTACGGGCGCCGTCTCGCAGCAGGCGATCGCGGCTGCCGTGGCTGCGGCGCTGCGCACGGCGTGGGCTCTGCTGGCGGGCGTCGGCTCCGAGGGGGACATCGAGCGTGCGATGCGCTGGCAGGTTATGGAGCCCGCCAGGCGCCACGTCGGGGCGCACGTCGACCTCGGCAAGGGCATCGGGGCCTTGCGGCAGGCCTGGGCGCGGCCGCAGCACGCCTAGCGTTGCGGGCGCTGGGGGCCCCGTTTGCCGGCGCCGCCGAGCCTGGCCGAGGCGTGCGTCGGCGGCTCGCCCTCGCACCCGCCCGCGAGACTCGTGGCGGAGTCCCAAGGCTGGGCGGGCGGAGGCCGTCAGGTCCTCCGACGACGTGGCGCTGGCGCCTTTCCCGCTCATGGTGCCGAGCGGGGCGGTGGACAAGGAGGAGGACGAGAGACTCTTCGAGGACCACCGCGCCGACGGCACCAAGCTGGAGGAGACCGACACCAGCGTGGGCCTCGGGGAGATGGACGTGGACGAGTGCGAGGGCACCAGCCAAGTCGTGGACGCCCCCACAGGGACGGCAGCCTGGGCATCTCGGACCTAGAGGTCGGGGAGTTCGTGCTGGGCCACGCGTTCGTGATCGATGGCATCGTGGATGTGCCGATGGTCGACAGCGTGCCGCTCGGTAAGACCAGCTCTGACGTCAGTTTCTACAAGAAGCCAGTTGAGGTCGGCGACGATCTGGTCGGAGGCAGTGGTACTGCCCCGTGTCATGGAGTTGCCCCAGCTGCTGGCCCTCTGTACGATGAGCAGCTCGTGGATGAGGCTCAAGCACTCCGAGCAGTTCGTGCAGCTCCTCGGCCAGCCGCTGACGTCCCAGCGCGGCACGCTCGTGGAGCAGCTGGCGGTAGCCGTCGCGGAGCGCGAGGAGGAAATGCCGCCAAGGGACGCGTACTGGACCAGTTCGGTGGGCTTGATTCAGGGACGCCCACCCACCCCAACACCAAGTCACGCCGCCAAGGGACGCGTCCTGGACCTGTTCGCTGGCTGGGGTATGACCAGCCCCCCCCCCCTCCCCTTGGCACGCCGCCAAAGGACGCGTCCTGGACCAAACTCTGAGCAGACAAGCGCTGCCTGAACGGATTCAGAGGGGTGCCCTTCCCCCGCCAGCACGCAGTACCATGATGGTTTTGGTGCGGTGGGGGCCGTACAACAACCCCAGGGCAGCGCGCGCAGAGACGCGCGAAGACGCCACAGCAGGCGCGCGGCGAACGCAGGGGCCCGTGGATAGCGGTTGTGGCGCCGCTGCTTGCCCTCTGCCTCGCAGCTGCCGCTGGTGGGAGAGGACGCCACGTGCACGTCCAAGGTGCGAGGTCGGAGCCGGACGCCAATTTCCGCGATGGCTGCACGTGCCTCTTCAAGCTCATTGGCGGTGACAACGGCAGCGTGCTGGGCCTGGGGCCCCGACGGTGACGAGTACACCCTTCGACGACCACACAGTCGGCGCGGACGGGGTGTGGCTCTTGCAATGCGCAGAGGAGGGCGCGCCGCCGTGCTCCGTCTACGTCGACATCTGCAAGGGGCCACGGCGTAACTCCCGTGGTGCCGGCGCCGTGAAGAAGGCCGCGGGGCAGCAGGGTCAGCTTGCCCGCGTCGGCCGCGCGCCCCGAGCAGAGGAAGGCTGCCTGGAATCCCGAGGCAGCAGGCCGTTTGCCTGCCCTGGTCAGGAACGGCTGACGGGCGAGTGTCTGCGGCGGCCTTACACCGCCTGAGTGCGGCTTGCCGCGCACGGGCGTGCCGACCAGTGCTGCACGCTGCTCTCGGCCCCATCGTGGCTCTTAACAAACGCTTCCTCCCCCTCCTCCTCCTCCACCATCCTGCCTCCTGCCTTCTCATCCCCTCTCCTCCCGCCTCCCGCCTCATTGCTTCCATTGCTCGTACAGTCCGGGGGGTGCGAATTGTACAACTGTCGGCACTTTCGCAGGCTCCTGGGCGGTCCAGCGGGGTGGAGGGCCATGCGGACCCAGTCGAGACTTCGCTGCTTTCTGGGTGGCTTCGAACTGCGCAGTTGTCGCTACTCCTGTGGGCTCCTGGGAGGTCCCGCGGGCTGGAGGTGTACGCGGACCCAGCCGATACCTCGCAGTTTTCCGGGTGGCTTTGAGCTGCGCAGCCGTCGCCATTTTCATTGGCTTCTGGGGGGGAGGTCCAATAGAGTGGGATTTTACACGGACCCAGCCGGGACACTGTGTTTCCCTGGGTGGCTACGAGCAGTGCAGCTGTCGCCACTCTTCGTGGGCTCTTAGGAGGGCAACGCAAATCATTTAAGACCTCGTTACGAACTGCGCAGTTGTCGCCAGATTCGTGGTCTCCTGAGAGGCGCGGCGCAGTCGAGGGCATCGCAAATCATTTGAGAGACCTCGCGGATCACTCGGGGGCTGCGAATTGCGCAACTGTTGCTCCTGGGAGGCACGGCGGATGTCCAGGGCAGCGCAAATCATTTGAGACGTCGCGGCTCCCGCGGGAGTTGCGAACCACACGGCCGTCGCCAATTGCGCGGGTTCCAAGGAGGCGCGGCTGAGTGCAGAGCAGCGCAGATCATTTGAGACCTCGCTGTCCATCGGGATCTGCGAGCTGCGCAACTGTCGCCACGTTCGTGGGCTCCTGGGCGCCACGTTGGAGTGCAGGGCTGCGCCGATCATTTGAGACCTCGCGCCTCCCTCGGGGGGTTGAGGACTGCGCAACCGCCACTTTCGTTGGTTGCTGGGGGGCACGGCTGGGTGCAGGGGCGCCCACATCGCGTGTGCCCACATGGCGCGTGGCGCGCTCCCGTCATTTTGCGCGCGGCGCTGTTGCATCACAGGGCGCGGAGCGCTGGATGTGTTATTGTGTAGTGTCTGAATAGTCGCCCCGCATGAGGAAACGGTTGGCTACGCCTCGGTCTACTGAGGGCCTGCCCGCCCCTCCCCCCCTCCAAAAAAACGTGCGCATATTGTGGCGATCGCAGCGCACCCCCGCTCCTACGTGCCCCACCGCGCCCAAGCTTCACCATTATCTCCCCCCTGGTGACGACCGCTACGCGGACATACTCACAAACAAATCGTATCATCTGCAGCAGCTTCTTTGATGCAGGGGTGGTGGTGGTGGTGTCGCCCTAGCGCCGCGCACATTCGTTGTGTGTGTGCTCGTTGTTGACTGTCAACAAGAAAGGTCTGGCATTGTCAAGGATTGAGGGCGGTCCTGCAATGGTGGCAGTCTCCGCTTAGCTAGTTCTGTCAGTTGCAACGACATCCCAACAGCATGCCAGCCCTAGCAGTGCCTCGGCAGGGCCAGTCTTGGGCCACTCAGGCTAGGAGAACTTGGGATCGCCAGGCCTCTACCTCCTCAATGACCTTCACGAGGTCGTGTCGGAGTCGTGTGAGCATGTGGAACCGGACAGGGTGGTCCCCAAGACTTTGGGGGCCTTAGCAGGAGACTTGCTGTCGCTAACGACGTTCGTGTCCGATAAGGAACGTCTGAGCCTTTGGTCAGTCAGTCAGTCAGCCTTTGGTCAGTCAGTCAGTCGTGTCCATTTCGGGACGCGTCGGTCAGTCAGTCGGTCAGTCAGCCTGTCAGTCAGCTAGTCAGTCGGTAATCCTCCGTCCTCCTCTCACCTCTCTGTTCTTGCTTCCTTCATCCCATCCCTCCTCCTCCTTCTCCTGTGTCTCGTCCTGCAGCTGGCGGGTGCCCTCCCAGGCCGCCGGTGCCGACGCGCCCCTCGACGAGGCGGCCCTCGACCTCCACATCGACGCGGGCCTCCTCCTCGCCTTCGTTTCCCCGCTGATGGCGGCGGGGTCGTCCGCGGGCGCGGCTGGCGCTCTGGAGGCTTCCCCCCATACCCACCCAACCAGGTGAATCTAGCTGTATACACGTATACACACTTATGTGTACAGATATACGTATGCACGTACACTTGCTTGCGTCGCGGCCGCGCGCGCGGCGACGGGGCGGAGCCCGGCTCGGCCGGCAGTGCGAATGCAGGAGCACTCGTTCCTAAGCAGCCCCAGCGAGGTCGCGTAGGGCACGCCCAAACAATACGTGTGCAGATACGCAGATGTACATCACACTTGGCTGGCCAGCAGGAGGAGGTTCCTTCTGGCGTTCCGGGCAATGTTTGTTCTGTCCTGGTGCTCTCGGCGGGGGGGGCGCGAGAGAGGCGGAGCAGGAGCAGCAGCAGCAGCAGCGGGAGCAGTAAGAGCAGCATGGGCCAAAAGGACTTGATGGGAGGGAACGAGAGGGAGTGAAAGGGAGAGGGAGAGAGAGAGAGAGAGAGAGAGAACAAGAGAGCGCACAAGTTCGGACAGTGGGTGTCCGGGCCGCCCGCTGCGCACGCCTTTTTGGAGGGGGGGCGCGTGTAAAGAACGAGGGCGTCGCGAAAACTTCCCCCCTACGTGGGGCTACAGCTGGAAATCAGATGGGCGTGGCGATTCTGGAGTTCCACTCCTAATCTGCGCGCCCAAAGCGAAGGAAGGCGCAGGTACAGCACGTTTTGGCATGCGTGCCTTCAGGTCCCTGCTGACTGGCATCACGGCGGGGCATCGCCCGACGCAGCCCAAGGCGTGATCCGTGGGACGTGTTGCCAGGCGTTTTCACGGGACGCAGGAGAAAAGGACTAGCGGCTGTTGTGCTCGCTGGCGGTGAGCGTTGAGCCTCGCCTGGATAACCTTATGGAGGGTGGCTCCAGTGGGCCGGGCAGTGGAGACACCGAGTGTGAGGCGTCCCAGACGGACTGGGCTCGTTGGAATTTGGAACCGTGCGAGGAGAGGCCCCGCTTGTTCGTGTGTGCGACGCAGTGTTTGCACGAGGCGCGTGGCGCGCGTTTGGAGCGCGAAGATGCTGGCACCGAGATCCGACTCACGGGCGGCCTGGTGGCGGTCCACCGCAAGGAAGTGGGTGAGGGCGCAACGCCTGTCGGGGGGCGGCCGAGTGCCCCTGGGAGGGTCCCCGCTTCCCTGGTGGGAAGAGTGGTCTCCGCCCAGACCTCCAGTCCCCTGGTGGGGCGGGGTGTGTATTTGGTGGCAGGAAGCACAGCGAGGGGGTGCTGGCCAGCACGGCGGCGTGGGGCGACGGCCCCGTCGCAGTGAAGGTCCGTGACCCTTTGGTTCGCCCTTGCATATCCTCTCCCGGAGGGCAGTTGCGTTCAGGTCTAGTCGCAGCTCCCAGGGGGATCATAGAACCTGGTCCGGCTGCCGCTAGGGCTCTCATGGTCCCTTGGAAGACGGGCCGGGGCACCGAGAGGGTCTGAGGCTAAGATCTGGTAGTCGCCAGGCTCACGGTGTTGGAGGTGGCCAACGAAGCCGAATGAGTCTTCGTTGTCACCGTCGTACATGGCGTTTGTATCACCGTCGCCAGGGGTAGGGTCGTCCTGGCCGGCTGGCCCAGGTGGTCCGTGCGAAGGAGCGTGGGGGGCTAGCGTGGAGGAAAGTTGAGCACAGAAATTCCCCCGGAATCTCAAAATGGACAGGGCCGAACCCGAAATCCCGACAGGGGCGAAACCCGAAAACTCGGGAGGCCCAAACCCGAAACACCAGGAGGGGCGAGATGCTACAAGCTCGGAGGGGGCCCAACTAGAAAAGCTCATGAAAGGATCTCGATGGAGGCAGGACGAGGTAGTAGGCGGCAGGAGGAAGTAGGAGGAGTGGGAGGAGGCTGGAGATGGAAGCAGGGACGATCAGGTAGGACAAGCCAGTGTGCAGCTGGAGGGGGCTGGTGGAAGGAGGTAGGAGATCATCGCTCTAGGCAGACGGAGGTATGAGACCCATGAGGGCAGCGGAGAGGGTAGTAGGGTGGTAAACAGACCACACATGGATCTTGAGCTTATCGGGTTCTGGATAGCGCGTCGGCGAGTGGTGCTTTCCATCGGGTGCCTCAGCGTGGTTCGTTGGTGGTTTCTGCGGTTTTGGCGATTGTTTTGACATGTCTGGCAAACCCGTGAACGAGAAACATGCTATTGCAGATTTGTTGTTGCGTTTTATACCATGAGCTGTACGCGAGCATTCGGCCAGAGCATTCGAAGAGTAAATTTGATATTGTTGATGCAAATCGCGTGCTGCCGTTCAACATGGAGGAAGTAAAAACAGCGATTCACTAGTTGAAGATTCACACAGCCGCTGACGACAATGGAGTGAGAGCAGAAATGATCAAGATTGACCCCGCGATATTTCGGGTTCTGCTGCAACATACATTCAACGAGCTCCTAGACCCATTCGCAGACTTACCGAGTGGGCGGCTCCAGGCTAGTACCACAGTGCTCCTACAAGAAGTGGGACTCTTCGTCACCGTCGAATTGCAGCTCCATTGCAATATTTGAGGTAAGTTGCGCACTTTTCAGTAGAATGCGATACGAGATGTTGAGACCCACCGTCACGGGAGCAGTCGACAGACCAGACTGCAGAGCGAAAGGGGTATTGGACCAGCGACCAGTTGCTGACAACCGCGTTCTTTGCTGAGGCATCAACAAATTCAAGACGCCGCTTCGGATCTGCATGGTTGATTTCGAGAAGGCCCCCGACGCAGTCGAATACGAGAGCCTGTGGGAGGCGCTGGCAGACCAGAGCATGGGACATGCATACATCAATCTGCTCAGACGATTGTATGCCAAACAACGACAGGCACCATAGGCATATTGATTGACATGTTTCGCTGTGTCAAGCAGGGCGGTCCCATAACTTGTTTCTTATTTGTCGTCGTCATGGAGGCAGTGCTCGAAGGTGCGACGGTCGAGCCTCAACCTCAATCGTCTTGGGTCGTACTACGGCATGGTCATCGGCAGCACCGGCGACCCTCTCACCCATCTGAGATTAGCCGATGATGCATTGTTGATGGCGTTTTCTGCCAGAGACTCGTCAAGAATGCTGGTTGTTTTGGAGACGGTTGCGCGAAGATGCGGCCTCAAACTACAGATGGGGTAGTACGATGATTATGACGAGCGTCGACAACAGACCGGCCGCGCTGCGATGTGGGAAGCATAGTGTGCGGGTGTTTCAACACGGCCAGTCCGGAAAGTATGTTGGGCGTAAGTTTTCTTTTGGTCCCCGCCAGGTGACGGAGATGCAGTACAGAATTGGGCGCGTTTGGGCAGCCTGTGGCCGTTCTTCAACTGCCGCAGCAAATTGCAGCACCGGGCGCAGTTGGTTCCAGGCATCCGTGGCGCCATGCGCACTACGTGGCTCTAGCGCATGGGCGCCCACATCGGAGCAGCAGCGACAACTGTAGGGTGCGCAACTGAGAATGGTTGGTGGCGCACGGCGGTTCCTGGACGAATGTTGGGTGGATTTAAGCAGACGCTCTACTGCTGCAGCTTGGATCCTTCTTACAAGTATCATGTGCGTGATTGGGTTGTTGCTTTCGAAGATGCCAAGAGGCGTCTCCACGACAGGATGCAGTCGGCCTCTGATGGGTGGTGGGGCGCGAGGCTCCTGGAGTGGCAGCCCTGGCACCACGTGAGTGCCCAACGGCACGTTGGACGGCAGCGTAAACGCTGGCAAGACATCTGAGAACACAAGTGAGCGATGCGCGCGGCCCGGCGTCATGCTGAGGGGCAGACCCGTCTGCCCTGCGGACCCTCTCTCTCTCTCTCGTTCTCTCTTTCTTTTTTGTTTCCCCCCTCTCTCGCTCTCTTTCTCTCTCTCTCTCGTTATTCGGTGTTTGCCGGCCTGTCGTGGCCCCGTTGCGAATGGAATGGCGGCGTTGTTGTTCCCAGCCCGCGGTGTTGTCATGTAGCGAATCGAATGTAACACTTAGCACCCCGCAGTTGCGGATAAGAGTGGGGGTCGGGCGCGGGCGACGCGGGCGTCGTCGAGCCGGCAGACCTCGTGGCCCCCACCTTCCCTGTCGATGGCGCTCTCCTCCTCCTCCTCCTCCTCCCCCTCCTCCTCCTCCTCCTCCTCCTCCTTCCCCTCCTTCTCCTCCTCCTCCTCCTCCTCCTCCTCCTCCTCCTCCTCCCTCGTCCTCGCCCTCGTCGTCATCTTCATCGTCATCCTCCTCCTACACCTCGTCCTCCTCTTCTTCCTCGTCCTCCCTCTTCCCCCCTCGTCCTTCCATCATCGTCCTCCCACTGTCGTCCACCCCCTCATCGGCCTCCATCATCGTCCTCCCGCTGTCGTCCATCATCATCCTCCTCCCCCTCCTCCCCCTCCTCCTCCCCCTCCCTCCCCCTCCTCCCCCCCCCCTCCTCCCCCTCTCCTCGCCCTCCTGCTCCTCCTCCTCCTCCTCCTCCTTCTCCTCCTCCTCCTTATATTCCTCCTCCTCCTCCTCCTCTTCCTCCTCCTCCTCTTTCTTCACATTCTCCTTACATCCTCTCTTCTGTCGCGTCCTCCGCGTCCCCTGTTTACTCCTCCTGTCTCCCCCTCCTTTCCCAAGATAACGGCAACGCAATCCCTTTTTACACTTTATGTTCCCCGACTTCTCTGATCAAGGCAACTCGTCAGGGCAAGTTTGCTGGACGGGCTGGTGTGGATGCGCGGGGCTTGAAGAGGTCGTTGCGGGCTCAGACGGCATGCAAAAATCCGCCGCCGCGCTTGTGCGGCATTGGTTTGTTCAGTGAACGTGGTTTGGGTCGCGGGTGGGTCGCGGGCTTTCCACCTCCACCTGGAAGGAATGCGAAAGCAGCCCGCCGCAGGCGCCGAAACAATTGGTTTGTACACTGAACGTGGGATGGGTCGCGGGCGGGCCGCGGGTTCTCCACCGGGAGCGAATGCAAAAGATGCCCGCCGCAGGCGCCGAAAAATTTGGTTTGTACCCTGAACGTGGTCGCGGGTGGGCCGCGGGCTCTCCCTCTGAAGCGAATGCAAAAGATGCCCGCCGCAGGCGCCGAGAAATTGGTT